TCCAAAAACATGCGAAATCCACTGGAGATGCAGCCTCAACAGGCAGAAAAGCGTTTAGTGAAATACAGTTTTAATACATTTAAAAACATGGACAAAATTGAAGTAAAATAGACATAAAGCACCCAGAAAGGGTTTGGCCATAGACTAATTTGGACTTAATCAAAGACTTAAGGCTCTTGGGAGCTCCCACTTTTTTAGGAATGGAAGTTTCCAGTTTTGGTCTGCTCTGGCAGGGGTTCTGGAAAATTTGGTATTTTCCAGTGTCTCATTGTTTACTATCCCCAGTGGGATAGTGCCACAGAGTCCAACGGACTCCCACAAAATCACCACAGAGTCCCGCAGACTCTGTGGCAGCCAAGCCAAGTAATGATCTTAGAGAAGCAGTTGTTACTGCCTATCTGTCTGGGAAGGGTTACAAGTAGATTTCCAAACAATTTAAAGACCATCATTCTACCGTGAGAACAATCATTCACAAGTAGAAACTGAACACAGCTGCCAAACTTCCCAGAAGTGGACATTCCAGCAAATTTACCCTAACGTTGTTTAGCAAAACTGCAAAAAGCCCAAGAGCTGCATGTCAGACTCTCAAGGCCTCACCTGAAGTTCTTGATGGTACAATTTGAAAAAAGAATGAACAAGTATGGCTTGTTTTGAGAGGTTTGTAGGAGAAAGAACATGGCACCACAGCTCAGTTTTCGCATAAGTCGGATCTGAACAAACCACAAGACTACTGGAACAAAGACCTTTGGATAGATCAGACCAAAGGGGAGATGTTTGACTGTAATGCAAGGTGGAGAATTGGGCAAAAACAAAACAAGCCAATCAGCTGCAACATCTTATACCAGCTGCTGATGGTGGAAGCGTGATGATTTGGACTTGTTTTACAGCAACAGGACCTTAAAGTCATTGAGCCAACCATAAACTCCTCTGTATACATACAGAGTACATATAGGACTAAATGTGAGACCAGCCGTCTGACAGCTAAAGCTTGTCAGACGGCTTCATGATTCATTGATGAGAGGTTAATGCAATGCTGTCCCTCCTCCTGTTCTCCAGGGGGCAGCCTACTCTGCTGTGAGTCCTGTCCTGCTGCATTTCATCGGGAGTGTCTGAACATCGAGATGCCCAAAGGCAGCTGGTACTGCAACGACTGCAAGGCCGGGAAGAAGCCTCGCTATAAAGACATTGTATGGGTCAAAGTTGGGCGCTACAGGTCAGCTATGACCCACAGAGTCTTTTAAATCGGAAAAGTCAAACACACGTCATCAAATCCTTTATTCTCCCATTTTCTGCTCCATAAGGTGGTGGCCGGCAGAGGTCAGCCATCCCAAAACAATCCCAGAAAACATCCAGAGAATGAGGCACGATGTCGGCGAGTTCCCCGTTCATTTCTTCGGCTCCAACGACTACCTGTGGACCTACCAGGCCAGAGTCTTCCCTTACATGGACGTGGACGCCAACAGCAAGGAAAAGATGGGTAAAGGGGTTGATGCGACCTACAAAAAAGGTAGGCAAAAGTAAAATATGTCCTTTGATCGGTTTGATATCATGGTTTGTGTTTGCGATCGCTGACTTTTGACGTCCTTCCTCAGCTTTGGAGGAGGCGGCTGTGCGGTTCCGTGAGCTGCAGGCAGAGAAGGAGCTTCGGCAGCTTCAAGAGGACAGGAAGAACGACAGGAAGCCTCCTCCATACAAACACATTAAGGTAATGGAGGTGCCTTTACTTTGAAATCAAGCTGCTTAAATCACAAAGAAACTGTAAAAAGCTTTCTTCATAAGTTGACTTAAAAAACGAGGTTTGATTGTAATGCTCGGTGATGAGTGATACACACCTTTCTGACTCATTCAGGTTAATCGACCAATAGGAAAGGTTCAGATCTTCACTGCCGACCTCTCAGAGATCCCCCGCTGTAACTGCAAGAAGACAGATGATAGTCCATGTGGGATGGACTCCGAGTGTATCAACCGCATGCTGCTCTACGAATGCCATCCACAGGTACCGAAACACCTTCATCACGCTCATGCACAGCTACAGATGGACTATGTTGCCAGAATGTATTCACTGACTGATCCAAATCATTGAATTCAGGTGTTCCAGTCACTTCTATGGCCACAGGTGTATCAAATCATACAGACTTCTACAAGTATTTTAATCCAGTTAGTTTGGTTTAATTTTTTTCTAGAATTTTATTGTACAAGGTGCATGATCCAAGTGTTTTTACTTAGTTATTGAAATTTTCTACGTTCAGGATGTTAAAAAATGCGTTTAAAAATCTACTATGCTGCCACCAATAGCTGCGCTTGACCAATTGGAGTTTAGTGGGGCTAAGACGTAATAGTTGTATTGCTCCAGATCTTCTAAAGTTGAATCTTTAGCAGCTCCCTGGCTGCCTGCCCTGGACTTTGCACCCAGGTGTCGAGTATCTGACCGAGGCCGCTTCTTTACTTGCAGGTTTGCCCGGCGGCCGAGCGGTGCCTCAACCAGGCGTTCACCAAGCGTCAGTACAGCCAAGTAGAGATCTTTAGGACGCTGTCTCGAGGCTGGGGGCTCCGCTGTGTCCATGACATTAAGAAGGTAACCGCAGTGCTGCTGCTGTTGCTGCTGGAATTGCCATCATAAGCCGGGAGTGAATGATCCATGTTTCCCGTATGTGTTTGTTCTCTCAGGGTCAGTTTGTGAGCGAGTATGTCGGGGAGGTGATCGATGAGGAGGAGTGCAGGTCGAGGATCAGACACGCTCAGGACAACAACATCTGTAACTTCTACATGTTAACTCTTGACAAGGTACGGCTCAGAGTCACGTGTGTTTTTAGGGTGTTTTCACATTAGCCTGTTACGTTCAGTTCACTTATGCAGGTGTGTACGCATTAATCGCAAAACAACCGCACCAAGACCCTTCGGAGGAGGAGGTCTCATTCAGTTCCTAACCGATTCGTTTATGGTGTGAAAGTGATCAGACCTCAACCAACTATCAGGTGAACGTTGGAAGTTTAAATTAACATCTTCCCGTAGCCACATATGTTTTGCATTCTGGAATGCAACAGGGTAACTTCAAGGTCTGTATGGGCTGGCAACCAGTTGTAAAATGTAAATTATCGTTTCATCATATCTTCCCTAATAACTGCGTGGAAAGAAACCAAACCACAGGAAAATGCTTCAAGTTTACAAACCCATTAACTAGGGCTGTGCGATATGACCAAAATCTCATATCCCGATATAAGACATCTATCGTCCGATAACGATATAAATCACAAAAATGTAACATTTTCTGTAAATTCTGTGAATCTCGTGCAGCTCGACTCGCGTGAAGTGTTTCCAGCTGGGCGTCGTGTACCTGGAGTCTTCAGTATGGAGCATGATTCTTTCAGCTCGTTATGCACCTCCACGTGCTTCCAGATGTGAATGACAGCCGCTGGTAGTGCCGCTTTTCTTTTTGAGCGAGTGGTTCTGATTGAAGTATTTCACCTCACAGCTGGAGGGAGGTATATGATTACAGGGATAATTCACTGAAGGAACACAGAGTTCTGGGGGAAAAAACACCAGCAATCCCTTTGTTTCTCTTTCAAGCTCCTCTGTTCCTGCTTTGTTTAGTTTGTGCTCTGAGCTGCAGCGTGTCATTCAAGAGAAGACTGCAGCAAGTCCGGCTTGCTTCAGGCACAAGTATAGAGGATAAAGTGGTCAATGTAGTTCTAAGGAGAAATAACAAGTGCATCAACATTAACCAAGGACTTGAGCCTTAACAGGCTTAACAGGAGAGTGTTTAAAGCAGTCCAAATTATGGTTTAAGAAAAAAACAACAGTAGCAAACTGCCACATGGTTAGATTAAATCTAATTAAGATCTAAAGTTATTCACTTACACCGAACAGCTTTGGAGTAAAGCCTCTGAACATGAATGGCTTTCCTACATCTCTTGTTTCCTGCCGTCTCTTTTTTCAATCAATACCTCCTGATAGGTATGAATGCACTTCTAACAGAATCGTGTGTTTGGTAGTTTTAACCCTGTTACCAGCAGTAGATGCTTTCTTGGCACTTTGGAAATTTCATGGCCAGGCCTGTGTTTGAGTACAGATTATAGCTACACCTTCAAACTAGAGACCTATACAGTAATTAAGTTTAATTTCATTTCTTGTTGGATGACTTTGTGTTTTAGGATCGGATCATTGATGCCGGGCCGAAGGGGAACGAGGCACGCTTCATGAACCACAGCTGTCAGCCAAACTGTGAGACGCAGAAGTGGACGGTGAACGGTGACACCCGGGTGGGACTGTTCGCTCTCATCGACGTTGCCGCAGGTTCGCCGCCTCTTACCGATCTGAAGATAGAAGTTGTTTCTATCTTGTTGTTTGGTGATGCCAGCAAGCCGCTCTCACTCATTTGTGTTTATCCTTTCAGGCACAGAGCTCACCTTCAACTACAACCTGGAGTGTTTGGGCAACAGGAAGACGGTGTGTAAATGTGGAGCATCAAACTGCAGCGGCTTCTTAGGCCTCAGGCCAAAGGTGAGAGGAGGGACACGCCACAAAAATTAATAACCACCTGTGTTTGTTTGGGAATAACCGACTCCTCTGCTCTCTGAACCAGAACAACCCCCCGCCTGATGATAAAGATCGCAAGCTGAAGAGGAGAGGTCACGGCAAGAGGAAGAAGAAGGTGGTGTTGACCAAAGAAAGGGAGGACGAGTGTTTCATCTGCGGCGACGGAGGACAGATGGTGTCATGTAAAAAACCTGGATGTCCCAAGGTTTACCATGCAGACTGCCTGAACCTCACCAAGAGGCCTGCAGGTCAGTGACTTAATCTATTTGGGATTTTCTCTAATCCACACAATATCACCCAGTTTTTATGAAAATAAAATGTAGGATGGTCCCAAAACAGATCTATGCCGCCGAATGTTTATTACAGCTGGTGGAAATGTTGTTGTGAATATGCGTTGTGGTCCTGAGTGAAATAAAGATTCCTTAATGTTCTTGCGTTTGTTGTAGGTCGGTGGGAATGTCCGTGGCACCAGTGTGACATATGCGGTAAGGAGGCTGCGTCCTTCTGCGAACTGTGCGTCAGTTCCTACTGCTGCCAGCACCGTGACGGCCTGCTCTTCATCTCCAAACTGGACGGCAAGCTGTCCTGTAGTGCCCACGACCCCTGCGGGGAACCGCTAGAAGCAGGCGAGATCCGAGAGTACACACCCGAACCCACAGCCCTCACCTCGGGGCTGGGCATGGCGGTCATTCCATCCTCTGCTACTAACACTACCTGCAACGTTAACACGACTGCCAGGAGGGCCTGGGACGTAAGCACCGGTGCAGGCATGTGCGCGTCAGAGTCCTTTCCTGCTTTTTCCATCCCAGTACCTATCACTATTCCCGTCGCAGCTCCAGCAACGTCGCCTCCTCCCAGTAGTTCTGATGCTCCCAGCAGCCCGCACGTGTTCGACCTCCCCCACTACTCGCCCATCTCCTCATATGAGGAGGAGAGGGATGTCTTGGAGGAAGACCTGTTGGCTGAAGAAGAAGAAGAGGAGGAGGAGGAGGAGGAGCTGTTGGAAGAGGGTGATGCAGAGAGGCATAAATCAGACACTAGTGAAGACGACAGAGAGACAGTAATGGAGGAGGAGGGGGTCGAATACCTGGAGCTCAAAGATGAAGAAGAGGAGGAGGAGGAGGAAGAGGATGAAGAAGAGGAGTGACGCACAGAGGATCATTATTTACAGAGTCACTACAGTGAGGAAGCACATGGAGGTTACTCAGTTACAGTCACTGTTAATGTTCAGTATTCAGTTGGATGTATGGAGGGGCTTTTAGGAGAAAACTACATTTAAAAAAATAAACAAATTGTGAGGTTTATAAATAAAAAATATAATATAATATAATTTATGTATACACTGACACACATCCAACAATTTTGCAGTTTATTTATGCTTGCAATACATGTAGTTTTACCCTGGTAATCACTCCCTACCTCCATCTACACACCTGCTACGAGTGCACAAAAACTATCCGGACCCGGGACATCAATCATGAGACTTGGAAACACATTTCATCTTTTTTTGTTTTGTTTTCTCACATGTTTGTTGGAGGTGTAGGTCAGGTGTCCTAGAAAGCTTTGTGCTTTTAGAGGCAGATGTTTTATAGTAGAAAAGAGAGTCACAGCTGGGCTCGGTTTGTGACTTCTACTGAGTTAAATCGGGATTATGTTTACATCCGTGCAGTTTGAGGCCGTGTCAGAAAAACGTTGTATTTGTCTAGAATTAAACTAGCTGAAGTTCTCTGTGTCCTTTTTAAAGCTTTTCTTTCTAATCTGAACACTGTTGAACCACCACAACCAACGGAGTTAAACTCGCCCTCGTGGTCCAGTTGTCGGGACACACGATGCTGGCAACCCCTTCCACAAAGGCCCGAGTCAACGTACACGCAGGACTCCATAACCTGGGAATATTAATTGTTGCTTATATTAAATCCACTCTCCTCTCCATTTCCAGTTCTTCATGATGACTCACATCAATTAGTTGGTGCTTCGAGATCCAGGACTACCAGTGAAGATATGACAGGCTGCCTGGAGTAGTCTTAACCATGCCAACTTTGTCTTTCCTGGTGTTGTTGGGAAAAACAAAATGCAGTATAATGGAATCAACTGTTTTTTAATAGATGTAGATTTGGTTTGCAGCTACAAATAGACTCTAGATTCGAACATTTCATGCCAAAAAAAAAAAGATTAACTGTTTGAAAGTTAAAGTGTGAAAGATTTCGTGCCATCCTGGGACATTCAGCTCCGCTGTTGTTGGACTGCAGGCTCACGTCGTCCATCAACTAATGGTGTGCAACGCGAAATGAACGCTCAGCCTTGCCCTGGCAGTCGGAAAGAAAAGGTAGCACTCAGTTGGCTCCAGTGTGTGTGCTGTGCTCTGTAGTCATTATTTATTCGCTGGTCTGTGACGCACAAACGGTGACGAGGGAGGGAGAGCGGCGGGGTCGGTGCCCTCCTCCCTCGTTCTTGACCCCCAAACTGCTCGGGGAAACAAAAGTCTTTCGGAGGGAGCAAAAACGTTTGAAACGGCGGACTCCTGTCACCACGCTTGCACTTGGGTATGTGTTCTTGCCACGTTTCGCTCCGTCTTCAAGCTTAATATTGTCTGTGTGTTATCTGCCAATGCCTTAGAGTGTATTTCTTTGGAGATATTTTTAAGGAACAATGTCGCCCCTGTGAGAGCCAAGTTTCCCTACTAATGCCTTTTTACAGTTGCCCAACAAGAAATGTCTCATTCCAGTGTAATTATGTTAGATCTCAACCACTGACCTGTCAAAACAACTGCTATATAAATATATAAGAAGACATGAAATAAGCATCTTGTGGCTCGTATCTTTTTTTTTTGTTTTAAGATTAATAATCATAAATCTGAAAAGAGATCTGTGAGATACTTGGATGCTTTTTAAAGCCAATAATGTCAATTTTTAAAATAATTACATTATACCACATTATTATTTAATTAAAATAAATCACACAAGTCAAGGGTCCAAATTAGTATGTTTTCACTACTATAGATATATAGAAATATATATATATATTTTTAAATATGATATTTTGTGAATTACGACAGGACAGTCTGGGCAATAAGTTACCACAACTTTTTCCATTATTTTCCATTTATTTCTTACACTTTATGCCCAAAGAGTCATGGTGACAGATTTCCTTCATTGCGGCATTTTTTATGCTTTTGAAATTGCACTTATTTTTCTAATACTAAAATATGTCCTGGATTAAGTGTGTAGTTAAAACTTATTTATATCAAGAAAAAGGAGAGTTTCACTGGTCCGATCAACTAAAGTGGGCTGTAAGTGGGGGATAAAAAGCCAAACATACCAACCTGAATCAAAAAAGGTTTTTAAGTATTCCTCGAATTCACTTCTGTAGGCAAACGTGCAAAGATTTATGCTGATATGCAATCCAATGCTAAAATTGTGCATATACAGTATTTTTGTCAGTCTTTGCCAAATATTACACACAAGCAAAATACTGTGGATCAATTCAAACTTAAAACTTACAATCTATCTGCGTTCTGAAACATTCTTGGAATGAGCCTTTTATTTTTCAGAAGAGATGTGGACATCAGTTGTTTTTTAAAAAATATTTGCATCAATATTGAACATCGACACATCAAAGCAGCAACCTACAAGTCCATTGCGCAGTACAACTTAAAAGGCAATAAATTAGTGACTCGAATCTTAAATATAGCTTTAAATGTTTGTGGGACATTACAATGTTAGCCCACGAGGCTTTTCGCTGATCGTCCTTCTGCAGAAGAGCTTCTTCCTGAAATCATTTGAACATTCCAAGATTTTCCTGCTAGAAATCTGTCAGACATATTTCTTTCTTTGAGAGATGCATTCAAACTTAGAAAAACAGTAGATTATTTGTAGAAAAGTAACATTCCCTAAAAATGTTCTTTTAGGCAGCTCAGGCCATGCAATTTAATTACAGATATGTGGGCGTGTTGTTAGTCACCTCCTTAAAACCAGCTTATTTTTTGGACGTTTTTACAGAAATCGTAGTTTATGATGCAAAACAGATCTGTTTTAGCAGCATTTAGTGTTCTTGTTTATTGGACTTCATACTGGATTTTTTTTGGGGGGGGGGGGAATTTACACCCAATTCAGGCATTATTATTTAAATTATTTTGTCTTTGGGAATTATGTTTTTTGGGCCACAGTTTTTGGGGGGTTTGTGGGTGTTGGTGCACTACCTTGAGTGGCAACTAGGACAAATGCAGAACAAGTCTGAGTAGTGGCAGCGTACAGCGCTTTCGTGGCTAACACATGGCAAAAGATGTACTGTTACTGTAAAGGCCTCTATATAAAGAAAAATGTTGTGTGTTTTGCCAGTTTTTCAAGTATTTCACTTAAAAATGCAGCGGGTAGAAAACTAGAAAAGACAAACCAAGATCGTGCCAGAATCTACAACCTTCATCCTGAAGCATGGGCTTAGTTTGGTCTCCACACAGGATTCAAACCCTACTCTTCTGGGTAAAAATCCTTCTGCAAAACCCAATAAGCTACCACATATGAATTCTTACTCAGGCTTTTTTTTTTTTTAAACTTAACTGATTGATTTCTTTTAAAGCCTAATATCAGAGCGTAGAGGAGGTGCATGAGTCTAGTGCCCTCCTGAAAGGTTATTATGGGTCATGTTGCCTACCCCAGCTTTAATTAAGAGCAGGAACACAAGTAGTTTTCTGACACACTTCATCCTAGCTGGCTTCTCCATCTGCGTAGCCTCCACTGAACATGAGCAGGACTGACAGATGTGTTTCCACAACAATGTTAAATACAGTTGGAGGTAAACAAAATCAGCATTTGTAAACAAACCACTCCCCCTCCCAAAACACAGCAACCGCTAAAACACACAGCATCAATCGAGTTATCTCTTTCAGTCTGGCTTCAGTGAGGATCCCACACCCTTACCACTGCAGGCTGTTGTCCAACCACAGCGTTGCTTCTGATTGTTTAACACTGTGAACTTGGGGAGGCTTATCGCCCTGTGGGCTGCAGGAAAGTCACAAGTTGATATGGTGATAAATATGAATAACTTGGTGAAAAAAGTGGGTGTGGTGGTCTTTAAATCCCTCACCACCCAGCAGTTGAGGATCCTCTTCCCCAAAGTCTTGCAGCTCTCAGTTCATTATGGCACAAAAGAAAAAAAGAAACATATCCAACAAAGTATAAAGAGTTTTGTTTGATTTTCCTTTTTGTGATTTGGTACCACATTCATAGATGAGTTACAGCTTTCCAGCATTTCCAGGTTTGACTCCAGCTGAGGGAATGCAAACACTTCCTGTCCTGCTCCCCAGCATCAGTTGTTGTGACAACAGGAGTAGAAATACGAGTCCTTCTTCTGGCCTAAGTCGACGCCCGTTTCCTCTGCTATGAAACAGAAGTGATAGGACTTTAAATTAGTTTGAGATCATTTTCAGGAGATAAACACATTGCATATTGCTTTTACATTTTGATAGTTTGTATAGATTAAAGAAAGTCCTGCCAAACCTAAGGAAACCTGTTTCACCCATTTCCCATTTAAGTCAATTAGCTGAAAGCTCTAACTTTATATTCACATCTAAAAAGAAAAGAGAAAGACTGGTACTGGTCTTTTTCCCCCCAAATTTTAGCAACAAAGATAATAGATATATTTCTCCAAAGTCTAAACTTTCCTATAAGGTCCCCCATCTACTATATTATAGGTCAGTAATTTGTAACTCACTCCATTTTATGATGGTGTTCCTCAGGGATCATTTCTGGGACCACTGATATTTTCTAAGTATGAATGGCTACTTCATATCACTTGTGTCACAGTTAAATTCTGCTTTTTTATTTTGGATTAATATTATTTAAAAGCCCAAAATGTGATCCCTCATGCACCATCCCATCTGAGCACTAATACTATAGTGTCTAAATCTCAGCTATACATTTACCAAACAGAAATTCTTGGACCAAAAAAAAAAGAAAAAAAAAAAGAACCAATTGGTCTCAGCATTGTTTATTTATTACATATTCTGAAAGGATTTTTATTAACTTTAGTGCAAAAAAGTTAAAAAATTAAATAAAATTGTTTGTAAAATGTTATAACTTGGTTTCTTATTTTTTTATTTTAAAAAGTATTTCTTTTAATACTACTAGAAAAAAAAATCTTTAGATATAAAGTATGTTGACTTGTATTCCATACAACTGTATGCTAGTTTAACATCATAATATAGATGAACTATTGATTTTGATGGAGTAACAACAAATTGCAATAAAGTAAATTAAATATAAAGTCATTAAATAAAAGTCGAGGGCTTTTTTTTTTTTTTAAATCCTTTGTTACTTCCATGCTTTTCTTTAATTCAAACATGTTTGTAGATGTGTAAAAGTAAATATTTTCTGCACAGATGCTAAACCTTTAACTTTAAAAAATTAGATTTGCCTGAAAGTTCTGCAGTAAATTCTGCTACGGATAACATAACTTCACACAACTTTCCATTACCCTTGCCACATGAATTGATATAAAGATAACAAAAACAATCTGTGTACATGAACGACACGCTTACCTGTCATATACTGGAAAGCAGTGCTGTTGTAATCCTCGGCAACTTTCTGGAATAACTCATCTGGAAAGCAGAGGAAGAATGAGGCCTGTCAGTTTCCATCAGTTCGTATCTGTCATGGCCAACAAAAACAAGCCAACTCACATTCCTAAAACCTGGTGTACAGCATGCAATAGCTTCTTTTAGTGTAAGCAGGCTGATAAGAGATGCTCCAAAACCTGCATCCAGCGAGAGAATGCTAAAAGCCACAAAAGAGACAACGCTCTTCTTTTAATTAGACTTTAATCATCAGATTCAGCCATGGCCTCACACTATAATACTGGCAATAATCTACCAATTAATTAATCCATTCATTAAGTTTCTTAGATTAAATATTTTCTCTTGTCAGGAAGTAAATTAAATATGTCTGGCTGTGATTAGCGGAAAATTATGGTAACACTCTTTGATCACACTCGCATAAAAAAAAGAGAAAAACTCTTAAGTGCACAAAATTTACCAGTACATATTAAAACTGTGTGTGCTAATAAGTAACTTAAAAATAGCATTTGTCCAGTACATGTCAGCTGTTTTGTTTGAAGAAGGGTGTGAAAATATGCAGAGATTCTCTTGGGTAAACAAAAAAAAAAGGTGGACTTGGGTGAATCAGTAACCTACTTTTTATGCCATTTTGGTGGATTTTGTCATGTCAGTTTCTCCCTGTTTGATTCTGGCTACACACACCAATTTGAAAACCTCATGATGCACTACTCAGATCTTAAGCGGTCACCCTGTGTAACCTTCCTTCTGCCTCCTGCTTTTGTGAAGAATCGTATGTGTCGAAGTTTGACCCCTGTGTTGCATTTTTACAGACAGAAAAGCTGCCAAAGAGCAACAGTTTTGATACTCTTGAAATGTTTCCAATCAAAAACTGAAAGGCTTTCATTTGCACATACAACACTGCTAAGAAATACATTTAATCCAAAGCTGAGTGGGTATCTGCAGCAGCTTCAAGCTTCTTTTATGAGGAGCCAACTTGTATCTGCCATGCTGTGTTCTGACCATCCTCTGATCATCCTGCATGTTAACGAAAACATACCCATATTTTTAATGCTACAGCTCACTTCCTCACTCATCAACAATGCTGCAGTCAAAGCCAACAACCTGTGTTACATGAAGTCTTCCGGTGACTCGAGGTTGAACTCACCTACGTTATTCCCTGTTTTACTGGAGGTCTCAAAGTGCTGTGCACCAATCTCTGTGAATATTAACCAGAACATTCAGGTTAAACATCAGTCAGTCTGAAGGACAAACTTATGCAAGCGAAAAGAAATTGTGTTTGTGTTGCAACTCGGGCTGATCACACAGAGAAAGCAGACAGAAGTTAAGAGATTTCTTAACATCCTTTTAACAACATCCAGAGTGTTCACAAGCTCTACAGTACACAATCTTTCCCCCAGTTTCAAACATGACTGCGCACGTGGAAAATCCTGTTTTTAAGGTTAAATGATCAACTTTGTCAACACATCTGACTGGTTTCTTAAAGCTGTCTTGGATGTAAATGTTCAAGAAAAAGACAAGAAAATATCAGAACCATTCAAGGAATCAACTATAAATCATTTTTCCACAACTGACGATCATTTATAGAGTTCAAACACATATTTACAGTATATAAAGTAAGGAAAATGACTCATGTACTAAACACTCGGGGTATTTTTAAGTGACACTGTGGATACAACTGAAACTGTCTGTAAATTTGTTCACATATAAAAGACAAAGTTGACTAGCTTTATATCAATAAACAACCGAACTAGGTTTTTTATTCTTCCATATTTTATGTATTTATGTTTACATTTTAGAAAATTATGAATGCCTCAACTTTAGGAATTTGAAAATTTCGAAAATCAGAAATCAGTAACCTGAAAGAAACCACAAGACTATTGCTCAACTCTTTTCTAAAGTAATGCATACTGTTAACCATACTGATGTTAATTCACTTCTGACCAGGCCACCGTCTCAGAAAGAAAACATGTTACAGCGTAATCTTTCTGCATGTCTACACTCCACTGCGCTCACCTTCAGCAAAGTCCTGAGCGTCGTGGTAGTCGATTTTGCGAAGACTCCGGTCTTCCTGGATCAGGTCGCTCTTGGTGCCACACAGGTAGATCTTACAGTGCTGCAGTGCACGACACACACCAGAATAAAACACAATGTCCATTACTGACATGATAGAAATTTCAGAAATCCAATGTGGGACTTCAGCTTCAAGTAAACCTCGCTGACAGCAGACTGTGCGGCCACAGATAACAGATACATTTATCTAGATCAATAAAACAATCAAATAAAATACAAACAATCTTCCATAGTTCAGTTGTGGACTGAACTCTTATATTTTTTACTACAAACTGAACTCTTATATTTTTTACTACAAACTGAACCATCTGATCACATCCATCAAGCTGAGTCTTATTTGATTAGATATTGCCTGCTTTAAATATATGGTACTTTCAGCTGTGTAAAGGACTGAAATAGAGTTCAGAATGAGACAGTGTTTTTTCAGTGCTTCATTATCCTAACAGATGCATATAAACTGACTGCTTTACAAAATGGAGGCCTGATTACCTCAGAGGTAATTACACTGAAACCCCGATTTAGCAACCAACAGAGCCAACTAGCAGAGTTACACCATCATAATATAATTTTATTGTATAAATCGGCTATTGTATTGCTATTGTAAATGCAATTTGCTAACTTTACTTATGGTTTAAAACTGAATGCCCCCAAAACCCTTTTGAGCTACCATGTTAAGATGACTGTTGGCTGTGTGAAAAAAAAAAAATCACATATCAAATGACGTGCAATCATTTCAATGAAAGAAACCATCTTACCTCCTCATAGTTTTGCAACTCTTTGACCCAGAAGCGAGCTCGCTGGAAGCTGCTGCTGTCAGTCAGATCTGAAAGCCAAAAATATACAGCAGACTTTTCAGTATTCAACATCCTTGTCTAGACACACACATGCACGTGCACGCACAGTGTGACTAATCTGCTGGGAAATGACTATCCACCGACTATTTTTACAAAGTTTCCCAATGTGGAACAAAGACACAGATCTGAAAGCAGTTCAGGACTGGACAGTGGCTCTTTGGTTAGAGGCCAACACCACACCAACTAGTTTACTTCTTAACACTCAAGCCAGGATTCCTTGATGCCGATTCTAGGAAATGGGGTAATACACTGAAAGACATAAACTAATAATGCATTACTGCCATTCAAAAGGATTGAGAAATATTGTATCCCTAAACTCAATTTCTTTTGCCATTGACAAATTTGATATTATAGATTGCAAAGCACAACCGTACATATCTTCTATCAGAAAGCTGTGGTTTCAAACGCCTAAAATGATAGCTGTTGTTGCCACCTCTGGTTTTTCCAAGACCTTAGATGGAAATGGGACCTTTTTGTCACAATAAATGATAGTGAATAGGAAAATATACAGAGATTACAGACTGGAATTGAAAACCGGTGCTGCTTGAGAACCGGTTTCAAATTTTCCACAGCACTGTCATATGTGCACAGTTGAAACAGCCCAAAGCATTGCTTCACAAAGAAAAATGATATCAGTGGTAGCTGTAATCTTGTAATCTGTAATCTGTAACATGATTATTTAAAGTCGGATTAAAATGCCCACAACATGCTGAAACATTTTTCTACACAACAGCTCAAACCTGACATCACAACACCAGTTTGATTTACACTTCACCTGCTGAAATCATCACCAGGTCGAGTCAGTGCACCTGCCTTTAAAGGATTCTGCTGACTGTTTTACAGAGTGCAGTGATGGGCAGGACGTCTCGTTTATGAAATGGAAACTGCTGCCTCGAGTGAGCTGTGGTAGCACTGAGCAGAACTGGTACTGAAGCCGACCCACACTTTCGTTTTGATCCCTCATAACTTCTGAATTTATGAGGGTGGGAAAACAAAATCTGAAACTAAGAAAAGAAACGCAGGCCAAGCTGACTTGTCACAGTTCTTGTGGTCCCCTTGTAACACATTAACAGTCACGACTCACCTATTAAAAGAACGTATCATGAAATTCAACCTGGCTGTGACTGAAAGTGAGTGAACACCATCACCTTTATAAACCAGATATGCATGTCATAATTATCAGCAACACTGTGCTAATTTGCACACCGGCCAACCTGACATTCTTGATACTGATACTCAAAGCTGCTTAACAAACGCGATTTTGTTGCAACACTGAAGTGGTTGTCAAATTGCTCTTAAATGTGTTTTTCAGCCCTAAAAAAATTATTGTGCTAACTCGTGTATTTAGGTTAAGTTTAAGTTACTAGGCACCAAAAACAATGGAAAAACAAGGATAATTAAGAAGCACCAACTTTCAACACACACAACAAATATCAGCTGATTTTGACAGGAAGTCAGGGTGAGTATCCAGTGAAGTTATTAACGTAGGAATATATCCTCTTCACTGTAAAAGTATAGATTTACCATAGCAGACAATGGCAGCTCGAGCTCCTCTGTAGTAGATTCTGCTCATGGCTTCGTAACGCTCTGATCCAGCTGTGTCCTGAGTGGGAAACACAAGAGAAGAGATGAACTAACTGGAACTGGAACCTAAACGGTGATGAAATTATCAGGAGAGAAGCCTTAACTTTTTGTTTAAAGCTATAATAAACAGCTCAAATGATTTATCTTTATGTCGCAACAGGCTGTGGTTCCAAAATTTTACAGGTCAAATTAATATTATGTTGTTGTTTTTTTTACCTCTATTCTTATTGCCATTCATATGAGATATGATAAAAACCACTTTCATTAATAACTATTTGCATCCACCCACACACACGCCATCATTTTTACATAGTTTCCACATTCACACAGGGAAACCATTTGTTTAGCTTCTGACTTTAGCAGGTTGAGTCAGGACAGCTATGCAGAGAGTTCTTCTAACTGGCACTAACATCAACTAATTTAAATTAAAGTTAAGATACATTAATACTGGGTACATGCTGATGACATTAATCTATTCTGAAAGGAAAAATTTATAATCATCAACCTTCAGTTAGGTAGTAATTTAAGTATGATTATATTAAAGATATAAAGAGGCTGGTTATTTTCCTAAAATAGAAACCAGGTAGTCAGTTAAAAGCTAGGTCTTTGGAAATGTGATCAACACAAACAACACAAAGGCCTGTAGGGACAAAAGCATAACATGGGGTGGAGACAAGTCAGCTTGGCTGATGGTGCACAAAAAGGAAAATTCTGGACCTTTTATTGGAATACATACATAAAGTTTTATTGTGTTGAGGAAGTTTTGGTTGTGACATAGCAAAGCTTAGCAATATTAGTTCTCTTGGTTCCAATAACTTTGAAGCTGTGACACCATGAGTGCAGTGGGTAGTTGGGTTTGGAAAAAATAGACCGAGTTACTGTTAGTATGAACCTTTTAACAGCATAAAGTAGCAACTTCAGCAGGACAAATGACAGCAGACTGGCTTTGCTCTTACTCATGGCTATTTTCCGGTCTTCAAACAGAGGAAATTTTGAAAAAAGAAAAAAAAA